TTTTAAATATCAATATATATGAAGTTTCCAAAAATGTGTATGTCCTTTTCTGACCTCTCTATATTCAATTCCATTGGTCTATGTGTCTACTCCAGCATCAACAGCAGTGTTGTGTTTTTGTTTTTTTTTTTTAAGATTTTATTTATTTATCTGCTAGAGATAGAGAGAGAGTGAGAGTACAAGAAGGGGGAGCGGCAGGCAGGGAGCCCGATGTGGGACTCAATCCCAGGATCCTGGGATCATGACCCGAGCTGAAGGCAGCCGCCTATCCGACTGAGCCACCCAGGCATTCCAACAGCAGTGTTTTAACTGAAATAGCTGTATAATGTTGCCCCCCCCACCAACTCTACATTAAAATTTGGGATAGGATTATGTTAAATCTATAAATCAATAGAAGACCTGTTGGAATATTTGACATCTGAACATATCAAATCTTCTAATTCATGATCACAATCTCTCTCCACTTATTTATATGCACTATACAAGAATTTTAATTTCTCTAGAATTTTGGGCATCCTTGGTTATATTTATAAGTAGTTTCTTAATATTGTTGAAGCTATTTAAGTAGTATCTTTTTCTATTTTTTTTTCCCTGTTTGTTGCTGGGATATGGAAGTGTAATGGAGTTTTATATATCATTTTGTATCTAGTAAACTTACTTAAATCTCTGAATATGATAGATTCTTTTGGATCCCCTATTTATTTGTGACTTCTAAGCTTTTAAAAGTCTAGCCAGATATCTGTATGTTGTTTTTTGCTGTTGTTGTTGGTTTATTTGGTTTTTTAAGGAACCAACTTTTTCTATTGTTGCATGTCTATTATATGCGTGTTTTCTGTTTTATTTATTTTATTTTTTTGTGGATGTGTTTTCTTATTATTAATTTCTGCTGTTAACTATATTATTTGCTTCTACTTTCTTTGTATTTTATTTCTACTTTTTTATAGATTAAAGAAGTATTCTATTTTTTAGATGGATATTTGACTCAGTAATTTTTATCCTTTCAGCTAAAAAAAGATTTATTTATTAATTTATTTTAGAAGTTGGGGTAGCAGCAGAGAGAGAGAGAAACTGAAGCAGGTTCCATGCTGAGCATGGAGCCCGACTTGGGGCTCCATCTAACACCCCCAAGATCATGACATGGGCCAAAACCAAGAGTCAGATGCTCAACCAACTGCACCACCCAGGTGCTCCATATCCTTTCAGCTTTTTTTTTTTATTTTTTTTAGATTTTATTTATTTGAGAGAGAGAGACAGAGATAGTGAGAGAGAGAGCACAAGTGGGGAGGAGAGGGAGAAGCAGGCTCCCCGCAGAGCAGGGAGCCCGATGCGGGACTCGATCCCAGGACCCTGGGATCATGACCTGAGCCAAAGGCAGACGCTTAACCGACTGAGCCACCCAGGCGCCCTCCTTCCGGCTTTTTAATATAAATATTTAAGACTAGAAGTTTCCTAAAAGTACAGCTTTAACTGTACCCTACATATTTGGTATTTAGGATTTTTATCATTCAGTTGAAATGTTCTAAATTTTCTTTCCAACTTCTTCTTTGAACCATAGATTATATTAAATACTAAATATGTTAGTTTATTCCCTCTTTTTTGCTGGTTTGCTTTGTTGTTGTTTCTAGTTTCTGACTTAAGTACACTGAGGAAAGAAGATACGCCATGTATGATTTCAGTCCTTTGAAATTTGTTTAAACTTTTTTTATGCCCATTATATATTCAATTTTGCAAATGTTCCCTGTGTGTTTGAAAAAAATTATTTTGCACTTGGTGGATATGATATTCTGTATGTGTCAAAATTTAATTATGCTGTAAAATTTTTGTCTGACTTTTTTATATCAATTATGAGAAAACTTGAAGTCTCCTACAATAACTGCAGAGCTATTCATTTCTTCTTATAGTTCAGGTTTTTTTTCTTTTTTTTTTTATTCTTATGTTAATCCCCATACATTACATCATTAGTTCTAGATGAAGTGTTCCATGATTCATTGTTTGTGCA